AAGCCTCGTAATCCAGTGGGGCGATTATCCAGTCATCCCAGCCCAGCTCCTTGAAGTTCACATGCAGGGGCTTCCTGCTGCAGCGGGTCTTCGCCTTCTTCCCATGGCCTCTGCCCCCAGAGCGGGCGGCAATGGTGGTCCGTCTCTTCCTCCGCTTGGGGTATGCCTCCTGGCCGGGATCTGGGGGTTCCAGGAAGGGGGGACTGCCCATGGCCTTGATCTTATCCCGGATCTCCTTGAAGAGGTTCTCCTTCCTCTGGGTGCGGGAGAAGGCCACGAGCAGGGCTTGCTCGTGGGGCTGCGGTCGAGGTTTGCCGAATCCCAGCTGCCGGGGGGGCAGGAGCCGCCCCGACTGATCCGAGACGATCCTCAGCAAGAAGCACAGCAGCTTGCCCGAGAGAGATCTCTCCCTCCAATCCCGCAGGGCTTCCCACACATCAAACACCTCCCATCTGGAGGAGCCCACGTCCAAAACATCTGCAGCCCTGGAGTCCAGCAGCCGGGGCTCCTCGCCGTCCCAGCTCGGGCAGGTGGAGAGGAGGAGGTGGTGGAAGGTGCCTTCGGGGGACAGGGCCAAGCTCCGGTTTTCGGGGAGGGCGCGCAGGACCCGCAGCTCTGCACCCGTCACCTCCTCCGCCTCCGGCAGGCTGGAGATGTCAAAGAGGTATCGCTGCTCGAGGGCGGATGGGGAGGAATCTGGAAGAGATAAAACAAAAAAATAAAAAAAAAAAAGGAAAAAACCATAAAAAGCCAGCAAGAGAGGTGCAAGGGACATAGAGCTAATGGGGGAGATCATCACCTTGCAGCGAGGCTCACTGAACATCCCAGCAGGGACACAGCTTGTGTGCCGTGTGCTGGAGGCACTGAAAAGGGACTGGGGGGAGAAGGTGGAGAGGGAGGGAGGAATCCATTCAAACAAGTGCCTTCTCATCAGCACTCTTCCTCGCATCCCAAAGTGGCTCCTCCCGGAAGTTTCAGTACCCCCCGCTGCATCACTGTCCTGTTCTGGCACAGAACCCCATCTGAACCTGTACAGCACAGTCCCATCCCCAGTCAGCAGGTTGTCACCAATTTCTTCTGCCCTAAGGGTCGCATACACACACACCACAGACCCAGCCATGCTGGGTGAAATTCTGTGAAAAAAATCTCATTTTGCCTCGCAGGCAGGCACAGGCATAGGCACACATACCGGGGATGCGGAGGCTGTGCCTGGGGGTTTTCGATAGAGGCACTCCCAGAAGCTGAAAGTGAGCCCAGCTTGAATTTGTCATTATTTCTGGTGGATCCAAAGCCCAAACACAGACTTGCACAGTTTCTGGCATTAATTAAATATACTTAATGTGAATTAAAAAAAAAAAAAAACCCACCAAAAAAAAAAAAAAAGAGGAGGTGGAGTTGAGGAGTTGAGGAGAAGAGATGAATGAGTTCTGAGCAGATTATTTTTTATGTTCTCCCTCTCAAACAAGAAACCTGACCTGGGCATGCTGCAAACATTGCTGCTGTGCCTGAGACCCCCGACCCGCTGCCAACAGAGCCCTGCCTGCCCCCCACCATGCTGCAGCCCCCTCCTGGACTGCGCTGCCAGGCTGCAGCCTGCACCACGGACTTTTCTCCTTGTAATTTGTTGTTGTTTTTATTATTGCTATTATTATTGCTTTTGCTATAATCATTACTGTTATTGTTATTATTATTACTACTACTACTACTATCATTACTATTATTCTAAAAGCAGATCTAAAACTCCTGTGAGGGGCAGATAAGGAGATCCTTTTGAAGAGTTCATCTGGTTTCGTTTTGCACTGAAACTTCCCAGGACCTGTGCTCAGCTCCCTCCCGTCTCTCCCCAGCCGGGCACT